TTGTGTCCTTCTTAGGACATCACATCAGGGGTCACTTAATGTCCTTCTGCCCCTCACTGATGGTAAATTTTCATCACCTGGTCAAGGTGTGGTCCAGTTTGTCCACTGTATATTTTCCCCCTTGGAACAAATAACCAATACGTGTAGAGATACTTGCAGATCATGCAGATATCTTGCTCACTGAAATTTCCCCTTACGAGTTAGCATTCTCTGATGTTTCCTGTCTGAATTTATCTTTTACTATAATGGCTACAAATGATTTCTCAATTCCAGCACTTCCTCTGCCTTTATCAGTTGCACTTGATTATCTATAAGCAAAAGCCCTTCTTTCTTATTTATTCATGTAATTAGTTTTCATTATGGACTTGGGATTACTTTTGGAATGGTTCTAATTCATTATTTTGGTGCTCAAATGGTCTCAGCTTTGGCCAGAGAGAACCCCTTCAGGTGAGCTCCCACATCCTTGTGACATGCTCCTAACATTTTTCTGAACACTTCCTTTTCTGGCCTAACAAGATGCCCCAGGGCCATCTTGGGCTAACCCTGTCCCAGCCTTGGAATCACCCTGGTTTTTTTGTTTGTTTGTTTGTTTGTTTGTTTTTTAGAGGAAGTGGTATTAGAAGCCAAGATTTGATTTACCAAATTATTTACCAAATAATATTATTTGGTTTACCAAATAATATATGTGATACACTCTGACCATTTTCTCCTTCATTAAGAATTTAGTTTGGTCACAGACCAAATAGATTTCACAACCCACAGTTTGAAAAACACTGCTCTAGGGCAACTCACTTCCTTGGCACTGGCATCTTCTAAACACCCAGGCCAAGCGAGAGGTTGGTCCCTATTCAGTGAAAGCACAACTCCAAGAAGTCCCTGGAAGCTAGTGCGGGCCTCTGAGACAGTGAGAGGCTGCTCCTCAGTGGCTGGAGCTGGGCTTAGCACTTGGCAATTACAGGCTGTGGAACTACGTTTAGGGCAACAGCTGTTTTCTGAGGCCCAAGTATGTCTAGCTAGGTTTAGTTCTCTTCCGTGGTGGGGGAAATCAACATTCTACATCTGCCTCTCCACAGCCTTCACTGATGGTGGCTGCAGAGAGCTGGGATTGTGACCTTTCCCGTAGACTTGGAGCTTCTAAGGCAAGAAAAGAATGGGTGCCCACCGAACACCAGCTTGTAAGGACCGAGCCCTTAGACTGTCACCCCCCAAACCTGACAGGCACAGGATGCACTTGTTAATATAACAGAGGTATTAATAACAGGGTTAATAATACTAGTAGTAGGTATTTGGGTGTAACATCTAGCTTGGTCTAAATATAAATTGGAGCTTCTGTAGGAGCTGGCTCCCTTGGTCCTGTCCTCCTAGAGAAGTTACCTTTCTTCCCGCCACCTAAATAGATCTTGCAGTTATACATACCTTCTGGGATCAGTGCAAACTTTTAAATTCCCCTACTCTGGCCCTGCACAGTCAGGTCCATTCTCAATTGCATAAAATGTCCTTTATGTTTAGTAAAATCATCTTGTGGAATTGGGCATAAAATAGCCAAAGCTAGTTCACTGTTTTCCCTCGTTTCATTTTTGTTTTTATACACTGTATGTTGTATAGAACTGAAACATCACATTTCTAAATAAGGCAGATTCTTCTATAATGTAAACTTAGATTGAGATACAGAGATCCTTATAAAGAGGAACAGAAATTGCCATTCTGGTAACATTAAATTTTTAAAAACTAAATTCTTACCAAATGCTTGGCAATGTAGTTTCTCCATTTCTTTTTATCAACTCTTATCTGAGCACCTACCAGACTCTAGGGCTACAGAAATATGCAACTTTGCCCTGTATAAGTTCCCATCTAGTGTCTTCCCTCATGCACAGTGTTTCCTGAATGCTGGTGAGCTCAGAATTTCCAACCGAATTTACTTCTATCATAACTAGTCATCTGGGGAATAATTTATGCATTTAATGCATTTCAGACAACAAGCAAGCAATCTGCTGCTTAACACTGTTTCTAGAGCAAGTTTGTGATGGTGGTTTCTATTTTAATAATAATGCTAAAATAATTTTAATAATGACAGTAATGGGATTTGGAGGATTGTAATGTAGCCAGAAGGGATAAGGAGCAGAACAGGAATGATAACGCCCATTTTAGAGTTTGGGAAGCTGAGGCCCAGAGAAGGGAAGAATCTGTCTGTGATGGAACTGGACCAGGTGCAAGCTACCTGCCTCTACCTTCTACCAGTCTCAGCCCCACAGTTTCATCTTAAAAGCAGTTGCCTTTACTTTTTTTTTTTTTTTTTTTTTTTTTTTTTTTTTGCGGTACGCGGGCCTCTCACCGTTGTGGCCTCTCCCGTTGCAGAGCACAGGCTCCGGAGGCGCAGGCTCAGCGGCCATGGCTCACGGGCCCAGCCGCTCCGCGGCATGTGGGATCTTCCCGGACTGGGGCACGAACCCGTGTCCCCTGCGTCAGCAGGTGGACTCTCAACCGCTGCGCCACCAGGGAAGCCCTGTAGCCTTTACTTAAGGGGCGAGATCTTTTAAGAGCTGCCCACACATATTTGGAAAACAAGCACTCAAAAATTGGGAAGCAACAATGCAGGTTTCAGAATAGTGCTATAAGAAAGGAAAATAATAAAACAAACTAGTCTGCCCTTTAATTGTGAGCAAGACTTCCGGATTCTAGGATAAATTTCTTCCATATTTTATTCAGTTCACTAATTCAAAAGAAAATGTGCCTTGCACTACATTGAAATTTTAAAATTTAAAAATGATTTGGGTTGTGGCTGGTTCTCAACTGCTCATAAGTCACTAATCTGCGATGCTGAGTTGCTGCATTTGGATAAATCTTAGGACAAGATGAAAGCTGGGCAGGATCCTCCCATGCCAGTGACCCCTGCATGCCGTGGCTAAAACAAAGGCCTTTTAAGAACCTTAGTCTTGCCTCTCTCAGCCTGGAAGCTCTGTTTTCCAAAAAGCAAAGGGCAGTTAAGCAGAATGAAATTGAACAGGTTATGATGGGAAATCTCTGAGCCACAGAAAACTTCCTATCAAATGTCTAGCAGAGGCCTGAGTTTAGAAATTCCTAGGGCTGGCAGAAGCTTCAAGCCCTCTTAGCACTGGTGAGTTGGGTGCAAACCCTGTGGGGAAGACTAGGTTGAGTCAGGAACCCTCTTTGCCACCCCCTCTTTGCTCTAGGCCACCTTAGGAGGGCTAACAACCCTCCTTTTCATTCTAGATGGCTGCTTGTATGACACATAGATATGACTGCATTTAAGGGTTAAGGCTCACATCAGTGGAATTTTTGGTAGTTCACTCTGATAGGTAAAGACTGGCCAGCAAGCTCTCAGAAAAGTTATTTGTTGTCCCTGCTCTGTTACCCACTATAAGCTCTGCTCTTAAGGGCAGGGAAGCATGGTCCAGCTCCATCCCAGAAAAAGACACACACACAAAAGCTCAATCCCCGAGCTGTGCATTTGCAATACTATAGTGATCAGTAAGTTGAATGTATCTGCTTTACATAAAGCCTTAAAAAATTATCTTCAGGAATGCTTTGTTGAACTTAATGCTTCAAAAAAAGGGGGAAAAAAGATGCGGTATTAAAGTTTATTTCTAAGAGATGTAGAATATTGCAGTTTTGAACATTAAATCTGTTGCAACTATAAATCCATTATTTCCATCCATTCAGAAAAACAAAGCCAAAGGAGAATTTCTTGGGAAGAAACGAAGGGATTTCCCTAGGTGATGAGCTGAAGAGGCAAGGCTTCCCCTGCCCTGTCTCAAAAGAGGAAGCCATAGCAGCAGTTTCTGTCAATTAACAAATGTTACTGCCACTCTGGCTTTAAAAAGTGACAGGGAGCAGCAGGGCTTTTGTTTAGGACTTTGATGGTTATTTTGTGAGGAGAGTGTAAATCCCCTACAATGAGTTAATTAGACCTAGTTTCTTAAATAAAATCAGCTACATAATATATACACACACACACACACACACACACACATATATATATATATATATATATATATATATATATTTTCTTTCCTAGTTAACATAACATTCTTTCAGCCTTAGGTACATGGACCAAACCCAACACAGCCCTACCCTTACTTCCCACCACACAGTCCTGAACAAACTTCCACTGAGAGCTTTGAGAAGCAGGGAGGCTAGTGCAGCAACTGTCAGGAACCAAGGCACAGGCACAGGCGGGGCAAACTGAGGGGGTAAACTGAGCTGTGTGGGACAGGCTGCCACTGGCCACCTGGAGTCACAGAGCCCTGCCCCCACCCTAAGCAGGGGGTGTGGCGGGGTGTCCAGATCACACTCGAGTTTTCCCATCCCTTACAGTTCTATCTTTTAAAGGCACATCTAGAAATGGTGCAAGTGGGGGCTGGGGCAAGCTGCAAGCAGTTGCTACCCAGGGGTTAAGGGGTTACAAGACTCCATGGCAGAGCAGTGAGGCTGTCCTTGCCCTCCCCCAGATGGAGGGGTAGGGGGAATCTTGGAATCCAGCCTGTTTGGGTGGAGGCCTGGGGAGGGGCCAGCAACAGGAAAGACCAGGGCCGTGGTCAATATGCAAGTACTTAACAGGTCTTTGGTGCTTGTGCAGCAGCATCTCCTTTATGTACAATGACCTCTATAGCCAGCAAAGCGGGGGGGAAGAAGCTGGAGAGGAACTGCTGGCCTGACTCCACTCCCTACACTGACCCTCTGTTGCACAAGGGCACAAAGCTCAGGAAGTCTAAACTGCAGTGAATGTACAAGTAGATTTTAGAAAGGGTTTCCTGAAGACAGACCTGGGAAAGTTAACTTCCTTCCCCAGTTCTACTGAAGATCATGAGACACTGAGCCTGAGCGCTACCCAACCAACAGTTCTGCCTCTTGGTCTTCCTCACAGATGAGAAATTCCTAGGCTTTCTCCTTAGATATGTGTTGACTACTGGAAGGGTCCCTGGAGGGCCCAGGCAGTGAGCAGGGGACAGAGGTTCTAAGGGCCCAGAGAGCTGCCCACCTCACAGGCCCCTGGGCTCCAGGACCAGCCAGTTCTCGGTGACCATCTGCACGTCCTGGCCACTCAGAGGCTCCCGCAGCCTCACCTTCACCTCCAGCTTGCCCCCAGTGGGCTTCCTTCCGTCCAGGACCTGTGAGGACCACGGAGAGGGAGATGGTAACTGAGGGGAAAGGGGTGGGGAGCAGGCAGCTCCCTGTGCTCACAGGTGAGGAGAGAGAGGAGCTAAAAGCATCCTGCATCTCAACACCAGAGTCTCCATCTCAGGACAACCCCACCCTCCTACTGTTTGGTGGTGGTGGTTTTAGGTAAGTCTTATTAAAAAAGTCATATGTAAATCCAAATAAGCACCAATGCTCTGAAGTGGAAGTGAGAAACCTAGAGCTCTGCTTACTCAGTTTTCCCCACAGTCCCCTTGGCAACTCCTGGAAGAAATGCTCTGGCTTCAAGATGCAGCCTGAAAAACCACTGAGCCCAAACCTTCAGTTCACAGATGGCCCAGAGAGAAGTGAATGATACCGTCACACAGCCACTGTGCAGCAAGGGCAGGACGTGCTTGTCTTTCCAGCCACCACGCTGCTTCCCTCCTATGCAGGAGAGGGGGCGGCTGGAGTTCAAAGCAGTGCTACAGGCTTGTGAAGTCTAACCAACCTCACTGGGGCTGATACAAAGCAGGCCCCACTTAAGAACTCCCCCAAACAGGCAGAGGCAATGTAGTGGGAAAAGCCCCAGCCTACGAAGGCACCAGCCAGGGTCTGGGCCTAGTTGTGCCAGAGATGCTCTGTACGAGCTTGTGGAACACGCTTCTCCTCTGGGAACCTTAGTTGCCTCGTCATCAGGGGCAAGCTCTGGGAGTCCCTGTGAAACTCAGTGAGTTCAGGGAAGCTTACGGAGCTGTCTGGGGCTGATTGCTAAACGTGGACTAGCTGTGTCTGGTGGGTCCCCCTCCTCTGGAAATTCATTATCAACTTTATGTCCAGAGCTTGTTCTACTTCATCACGTTGCCGGACAACTGCCTCAACCATAACCTGCCCCCAGACACCTAGGAATCTGTGTGTGCCAAGTTGACAGCTGCGATCAGGCCCCTCAAAAGCCCCCTAATGCACCATCCCTGGGAACCTGCGTAGCACAGAGCGTCTTGGAAGGATTGTAGCTACTTCCTCTCTGGGTGACGCTATGAAATTTTCTCAGACCCTCTGAATCTCTTCATTTGTGAAATGGGCATAGCACATACTCTATAGCACACTTATGGATATTTTTAAATTAATGGGCACAAAAAACCCACAACAGGGACTGATGTTCAGTGAACGTTGGCTCTTTTCTTGCCAAGTCCTCCAATTTGCCCACCCTACCTCCACAATCTCTCTGATCTCACACTCATTCTCCAGACGCTCCAGTTTCAGGTGGGCTGTGCCGACCAGCTTGTCACTTCTGAAGAAGGATCTGGAAAGCCAAGAGTCAGCAGAGGATTGGACTGGGCAGGGAAGGCAGAAATGAGCTGGCTAAACCCAGCACAAGATAACTGAATAGTAGCAGGGGCAGCAGCAGCAACAGAAACCAGTCCTTCCTCCCAGCCCGCCTTGGCAGTGTGACTGACCAGAGCCCTCACCCTTTGTGGAAGATTTCAAACTTGATTCCTTTGCTTTGAATCACCCTCCTGAAGCCCCGGTGGTTTCGGTTGATGTTTAGTTTGAAGAGCTGATCAAATTCTGCAAGAGTGGGGAGAAGTTAGAGGAACTTGGCTCTCAGGGATTTCCTGACGAAGTGGAAACTGGCCCAGGGCTGGCCTCCCCTCTCAATCTTTCTGCCTGCAATTTGAAGTCACTGCCACCAGAGGGAGGTAGAGAGAGCATTGAGGTCCTGGCCTTGAAGTCCACTTGGACAGTTCTTGTTAGACACAGATCAAACCAAAATGGGAGAGGCTTGGAATTTGGAGTCAGGATTCCTGGATTCAAGTCCTGTTTTCACCATCTCCTTGCCGTGAGGCCCTAGGCAAGTCCCTCTACCTCTCTGAGCTTCAGTTTCCCCAATTACCTTCGAGAAGTAGTAGTAATGCCTGCCTTTATCTCCTAAGCTGAGAAGACCAAGTAAGACAATAGATCTGAAAGCACTCTGGAAACACAAGTGCTGCACAGATATATCAGAGGGTGAGAGGGAGGAGAAAGCAGCCCTCACATGGGTCCTCACCTGGAGAGTTTGTGTTTTTCACCACAGCTGTTTTGTTTTTTTGAGCCTGGTCCTAAAGCAGTGAGAAGAGAGGAGTCAGGACAGCTTGAAAAAACAGAGATACAGGGCCAGGAACTCTGGGCTACATCAATGCTGAGTGAAGGGACCCATAGAGGGAATGGGCCCAAGGGTCTTCAAACCCCTCCCTACAGCCAGACTCCAGGGATGGGGAGAAATAGAGCACAGGGCCCTGGAAGGGAAGATGGGGTTCACAGGATCCTATTGCTACCTGAATCTCACCGAATTAGGATAGTGGAACTCAAACCGCACAAAAGCATCCAAGTCATCAGGGGTCACCCCTATGAAGGAGAAGCAGGAGTCAGGGTCAGAAGGAGTAGCCAGGAGTCCAGCACTTGATGCAGAGGGAGAGCCAGTGCCTCCCTAAGCAGCCAGGAGTGGAGAATCTAGACAAGTGCCTCTTAGAGTAGGGGTGGCCCTAGGGCTACCTGGAGGGGCTGGGAGGTTCATTCCCCGGACAACAATCAGATGCATTTCTGTGCTGTTCAGTTCTGCGAAGATCCTAGAGCCAGGAAGCAAGGAGAAAGAGCCCAAAGTGAAGGACAGCAGTAGGAAAAGGTCCCCCCTTCCAGTGGCCGCCTACCCAGCAGGGTGGTGGCCAAGAGGACAGTGGGCCCAGGGAAGCAAAGCTTGTCTGAGTAGAAGCAGCAGAGCTGGCGTGCAGACCTCGGTCTGTGACCCCTAGTCCAGGGCTCTTTCCCCAACCACCACACAGCTCTGAGGCCCGCCTCACAGACAGGCACCATGGCCTACTGCTCCCCAGCCCCAGGGCCTACGTCAGGGTCAAGCCTGGGAAGCATCACTCAAGGGGCCTAAGTCTCCACCCCTGGCTCCCAGCTTCTTGCCCAGTCCCTTCCTGGAGCCACGGTCTCCCTTAGGCTTTGGCACCTCACAGTTTGGAATGTCTTCAGCTCAAAGTGGTGGCTGGGAGGGTCAAGGCCCTGGGCCTGGGCCAGCTGCAGGATCTCAAGCTGCTTCTTGCGGTCTTGAGCAAGATTCTCAAACCTGACAGGGACAGGTGTGCACATCAGCATGGCAGGGCTCATTTTCTGCTCCCCACCCCACAAGCTCCAGCCCCAGCCCCGCACTTACCGGGTAGTCTCGGCCACATTGCCATGGTGCATAAACTGCTTGGAGAACAGCACACACTTCTGAAAATGGGGGCTCAGAGTGAATCCAGAGTCCAGAGCAGGACCCGTCTAGGCTGGCCTTCAAGGCCTGACTTCTGAAAGGTCCAACCTTCTGTAGCCTCACCCCTCTCCTCCAACATGTACCTTAAGTTCACTGCGCCCAAGTTGCACTTCTCTGAGTTTTTGCTGTTTCCTCTCCTGAGGATAGCCATTCCCCTAAATTCCCTTAGCAAACTCCTATTCTTCTTTAAAACCTAACAGAAAGGGACTTCTCTGGTGGCGCAGTGGTTAAGAATCCGCCTGCCAACGCAGGGGACACGAGTTGGAGCCCTGGTCCGGGCAGCTCCCACATGCTGCGGAGCAACTAAGCCCGTGCGCCACAACTACTGAGCCTGAGCTCTAGAGCCCACGAGCCACAACTACTGAGCCCACGAGCCACAACTACCGAAGCCTAGAGCCCATGCTCCACAACAAGAGAAGCCACGGCAATGAGAAGCCCGCGCACGGCAATGAAGAGTAGCCCCGGCTCGCCGCAACTAGAGAAAGCCCACGCGCAGCAAAAAAGACCCAAGGCAGCCAAAAATAAACTAATTAATAAATTTTTAAAAAAAACCTAATAGAAACATCACTTTAGAAAGCAGACTTGCAGGCAGCCGTTCAGATAGATACACATACACCCAGTTATACATCTATGTATATCTTACATACACACACACACACACACACACACACACACACCCCACACACACACACACACACACACCTGTCTCCCCAAACACTTCTTCCTCCCATCTTCAAAGTAATTCCCCCTCCACTCTGTTTGAACTTCATAACCACCCTGCAAGAGGGGCATTAATCATCCATTTTATAGATGAGGAAAATGTGGTTCAGAGAAGGGAAGTGCCTTACCCAAGATCACACAGCCAAGTAAGCAGAAGAGCTAGAATTTGAATCCTATCTTGTCTTTCACCAAGGGGAGGCTGTGGGCACTGAAAGGGGAGGACAGACAAGCAGTCTACTGACCTCATGTTGCTCCAGAAGCATTTTTTGTAGCTGGGCATACACCTCCTCAGCCTTCTGAGAGAGTCGCAGGTCCTCATGGTGGATCAGGATGAAATCGCCCTCCTCGTCCGTTAAGGGTGAAGGCACCTGCCCAGGTCACAAGGCCCCTCAGGGGCCTCAAGAGTTAGATTATTCCTCTACTGAGCCTAACAGACACAGGAATCCAAACGAAATGTTTCTCCAGCTTCTAGTAACCTCCAGTGATGGGAACTCATTGCCTGCCATCCTATCCCAGGCTGCTACAATGCTCTGCTTTCCTCTGGCCTTGCCCGGCCTGGTCAGCTCTCACCACAGGCAGCCCCCCTGGCCTCCCCTGGCCTCTCCTGGGGTCCTGGGACAGAGAGACACATAAGCACAAGGCTTTCTCAGCTGTCACCACATCCTATTCAGGTCCCACCTCCTCCAAGCAGCCACCTTGTTCACAGTCCACATGTCCAGCTGGCCACCCACCTCTCTGCCTGAGAAGTCCTGCTGCTCATTAGCCAGGCGACACTCACCTTGGAGAGGTCCACAGGTCGGCCAGCCCGCACCTGGATGATCTGAGCCTCAAGGGATTTGGCCACCCGCAGATGGGCTTTGGCCTGCTCCAGGTCCTGGCCACGCTTGGCCTGCAGGGCTGCCCGCTGGTACTGCAGTTTCCGTGCCTGCAGCAGGGCCACCTGCTCTCGCACTGGAGGGAGGGGACGCTGGTCAGAGCCATGCCTGCCTCTCACTAGAGCCTTCACTCCCCCATCCCTATTCTCCCCAACTCACCAGCTGGACTCAGTGACTCCTTAGAACTCGAGGCTTTGGGCTCAGGCAGGGGCCGGGATGAAGGGACCAGAGGCTGTGCTGGCTTCTTGGCCACTGGGGCCTGGGCTGGGGGCTCATCCTGCAGGTGCCCAGGAGGCTGTCACAGGAGGCTGTTCCCCACCCCGGCCATGGCAGTTTCCAGACTCGGGCTCTCTTCCTAACACTGTACTACTTACTCACTGTGTGACCTGAAAGGAATGGCTTTCCCTCGTGGGCCCTAGAGAGTCTCAGAGCTAGAAGAAGCCTCAAAAGCCCTCTGAGCTAACCTCCCAACATGAGACAGCAGGGTAATGGGGATCAAACCTGGGCTCTGGAGTCAGAAACACCTTGATCTGAATCCAGCTCTGCTAATTCCTAGCTGGGTGCCCTTGCCCAAGTTTTTTCTCTGTAAAGTAGAAGAAAGAATATCTACCTCGCTGGGTTTGTTAGTACGGACACCAGTGTTTGAGTTCACCCCTCATCTGCTGTTTCCCCCCACCAACCCCTGGAGCCTCGGGCACTCAGCCAAACCTTGTCCTCGTCCTCGTCTTCCTCTGCGGGGGCTGTATCCTCTGAGGAGGCCAGTTTCTGGGCAGCTGCTAAAGTAGCTGCCACCACATCCTCCTCGGTACCCACAGTGGGCTCCCAGCCAGGTACAGGGGGGAATCCTGTAGACGAGAGACAACTGGGAGAGGGTTCGGGTAGCCTTGGGGAGGCACCAGATTGCTGCCGGTCCTGTGTGGGTCCTCCTGGGCATGGCTGGGATGGATGGCTCCCCCAGAGCAGAGGCAGATCTGTGAGAAATCATTTCCCCTTCCCCCCTTCCTGCTCAGGGACCTCATAAGTCCCCAGGCCAAGCCCCACTCACCTGGAGGAACAGGCAGCTCAGCAAAGTCAACTTTCCGTCCTGCTCGATGGGCTCGAATGGCATCTTGATATTGCTGCAAGGGAAGGAAGGGAGGGATTGATGGTGGGCAGCAGTCTGCAGCCTTCACTCAGGGAGAGACAGGAAGAGGACAAAGACAGCAGCCCCAGGAGGAAAAAGAGCCCCTGAGGCAGCAAGAGCTCCAGAGAGAGACAGACAGATGAAGACTCAAAGACCAGGGAGCAGACAGCAGCCAGCCGAGGAGGGAGGCTGCAGGCCCACCTTGGCAATACGCTCGTGCATCCGGGCCTTGCGCTCATCCCCACTGCTCCGAGCCTGGGTGCATGCCTCACGGTACTTGTTCAGCCTCTGCTGCAGGGCGTCTAGCACTGTCTGTGGCTCAGTAGGGGCCACTTGAAAGGAGAAAGGAGATGGCCTCAGCTCTGCCTGCCTCCTCCCAGGCCCCCACTCCACAGTCTCATCATCCGGTCCTACCTGGGGTGGCCGGGATGTCAGGGGCCATCACTGGCCGCACTCGCTCTACTGCTGGGTGTACCTCTGGGGGTGCTGTGGAGGCCTTGGAAGCCTGTGGGAGGGGCTTCAGGTCTGGGGGACCCAGAGCAGAGGTGTAGGTGTAGGTGTGGGTGGGGGTGCCTGGCCAGCCCCAGCCCCAGCCTGAGCAGGCTCCCCCTGCCCATTCCCACACTGACCCTCAGGTGCTGGGGGCATGGCACTCAAGTCCACAGGCTGCCCCTTCTCCAGGGCCTCCAGGACGGCCCCAAATCTCTGCAGTAGGAAGAAAAGCAGGTGTGGGCATAAGCCAGGGAATCCCAAGGATCTGGGCTGAAAAACTCCCCCTCAGGCCAGTCTCACTGAGCCCAGTCGAGTTGTGTGACCTTGAGCAGGTCACCGCCCCATCTGTGAAATGAGGGATTGGACACAGGGCCTCTGAACCAGATGCCATACCTTCCCAATCCTCATGAGCTCTCGGGCACGATCTAGGTCTGCAGCCCGCTTGGCGTTCAGGGCAGCCACTTTGTACTCTCTCTGTCGGGCCAACAGCAAGGCCCGTGGGTCTGGGTCTGAATCAGGGGGGCCAGAAATACTAGGACTACCCAAGAGGCTTGTCTCAGGCTGGGAGGGGTTGTCTATGGAGAAACAAAAAGTCCACAGAGAGGACATGAAGGTCAAAGAAGACGGTCACCAGTGCCTCCAGGTCTGGTTGGCCTGAGGACCTCTTAGGGAAGGTGTGACTGACAGCAAGGGAACAATGGCAGGATGGGGAGGAAAGCCTTGGGCTCTGACCTTGGGAACCAGGATGGGATCTGACTCTCTTCAGATACCTGGCTCCATGGAGGGGGGAGCTGTGGGTTCTGCTTCAGGGCTCCTGTTGGTTGTTTCCTGAGGGGCCAGGGGCCTCTTGCCCAAGGCCACTGGAGGTGGGATCTCATCCTCACTGATCTTCCTGCCTTTCCTCACAGCAGCCAGCTGGGACTCCAGAGTCTGAGGGAGAGAAGAACCAGAAACCTAGCCAGCCATCACGGCCTGGACCCTGCTCAAAGACAGGCCCAGGATCCTGCCCCTCCGCGAGGCTGGCGGGGAGGCTTCCCCTCCGCTGGCCCAAGCTCCTCTTGTGCCTCACCCTCTGCCCTCACTGCCCTCAGCCCCACTACTAGCCCTGCTCCCCAGCCGAGCCCAACCCACCTTGAGGCCGCGCTCACAGCGCCTGGCTTTGGCTGCTTCACCTGTCTCCTTGGCACTGGCCACCGCCTCCCGGTAGTTGTGGATCCGATCCTCCAGCAGAGCCTGCAGCCCCTGAGGCCCTCCAGCCTGTAGATACTTGAGTTCAGGGCCCTGCCACTCCAGGGCCAGCCAGGCCCTTGCTGCTCCCTCCCTGCAAGGAAGCTGCCCCGGAAAACGAAGCTCTTGGATTCAAGGAGAAGGAAGAACCTAAAAGCCTCAAGGTGGGAGGCAAAGCCTCACTGGAGAGGCCAGAGGCCATGTCAGAGGCAAACACAGAGGCCCAGACAATCTGTGGAGGCCCTGAAATGGCTGCGGGGGCGGTCTGGGAGAACAGAGAGGCCTTTGAGGCCGGCAACAACCAAGGAGTTTCTTGGGCTCAGCCTCTGCTTGGGGCAGCTGCTGAAGGAGGGCCCTGGAAAGAGTTATCACAGTATTCCTAGGCAAGCCGTGCTCCGTGTGTGTTATACATGGACATGCAGGCACAAAGGACATGGACAAAGGCACACTGGACCCTCCAGAACCCACCTGAGCCACTGGGACTGAAGCTGTTAGGAGAGCTGTCTGTACTGGAGGTTCGATGTTCTCCTGTTCCTTCTCAGAGCCACCTGGGCTGGCTGTCTCATCGCCATCCAAGGGCCCAGCCTCCTCATCTGCACCCAGGACCTCCTGCAGCTCATTCTGGGGAGACACAAGTCCCAAGAGCTGGGGAGCCTCATGACCATACCCACGACAGGACCCGAGAATCAAGGACACTCTCCCCCAGCAGTATTTCCCAGTATCACTCACTGTGCCTGAAAGTCCCCTTTACCAAAACATTCCTTTAATCTGACCAGGGATAGGCTTGAAATCAGTGAAGCCTCCAAATCTGAAAATCCCCAAGTACAGAGCTCAGACCACACATCAAAGGGGACAGCTCTCACACCATACAGTCAGGAAAAGGGCCCAAGAAGGGCAAGGCACTCAGTCCATCAGAGCACACGGAGGGAAGCACCCCAGGCCTCCTCCGCAGGCCTGACCACAGAGCCCTCCAACACCAGCCCGGCAGACGCACCAGCAAGTCTGCATCGTCCTCCAGCCCTTCCTCCTCCTCCTCCTCCACATCCCGCAGGCAGTCTGCCGCCAACTTCTCGATGTGGGCCATAGGCAGGGGGGCTGGGGGAAGAGAGTCACAGCAACTCAGAGAAGATTCCCAAGGAGTAAAGGAGGGTCTTCAATCCACTGAGCTGGCAAGCACACCCAGGTAGAAATCCTCCTTCCCTCCCACAGCCAAAGTCCCCCCTCTGCTCTTCCTTTATGACCCAGCGCAGAAGACCCTCAGCAGGGAAACCTGTCCAGGCCCTCCAACAGGCAACAAGCTGCTCCCTTCTTGGCACTTTTGCTGTGGTAGTTATTTACAGACATATCCGTTCATTCCCCCTAACCACACCTTTCACATATATATAAAGATTTTTAACATTTTTTTGAGCTTCACAGTAATTCTGCAAGATAGGTAATACTGGGAATTCCTGGCGGTCCAGAGGTTAGGACTCTGCGCTTTCACTGCCAAGGGCCTGGGTTCAATCCCTGGTTGGGGAGCTAAGATCCCAGAAGCTGTGCAGTGTAGCCAAAAAAAAAAAAAAAAAAAAAACAGGTAAAACTATCCACATTTTTTTTATGAGAAAACTGGAAAA